GGGGATATTATCCTCTAGAGGCACCAGCCTCCTACTTCCCTTCAATCCCGACTGCACAAGTGGGAAAGGCACCCACAGACAAACCCCGCGAAGGTGTGCACGCCGAGTCCTGCTCACCGATCACGCTCTTGAGGTTGTGCACGTACACCACCGCGTTGCTGGAGCCAGAAGCTAGCAGGTAACCGAGGTCCGGCTGGCTGCTGTGCTCGTGGTGCCAGCAGAGGGCATTGATGATCTTGTGATGCTGCTGAATGGTGCAGAGCAGCTGTAGGTGAGGGGCTTGAAATACATCTACTGACCTGTAGAGCACAAACACACAAGATGAACTAACACCTCACCATAGCATCCAGGTTGGGCCTTCTGGAAGGAAATACTTTACTTAAAGTGCCTTTGAAGAAAGAAAGAGTAAACTAGTGATTCACTCACAGAGACAACCTGCACTCTAACAAAGTAGAAATGAATAAAGAAAATCCAAGAGCTGAGCTACAAAAGCACAAACAAAATGATCAAAATGGCAACAAAAGTATTGCGGGCCCATGACTTTTAAGAAAGTCTTCAAAGCTAAGCTGAAGCAAACAACAGAATGGGGGAAAAAAAGCTCCCCCTCGATCTGCAGAACTGCATAGCAATGTAAATGTGTCATATTATTTCACAGCTGATAATCTTAGGGTGCAGCTTCCACAGGGTGTTAGATAGTTAAATACCTTTTAAACTAACACATTGCCGAGCAAGTTAAGGTGCAACTTTTTTTTTATTAGGTACTGTGGGTCAATGCATGATTACCATCATTCTGCTGGATGATGGCAAGATAGGCAATACCCAAATGACTCAGCCCAGCAGCTCCTAACGGTTGTAAAATTGGGATCTTATATCTCTAATAGAACACACTGCAAATGTGACTGGAGTCTGAAGAGTGCTAACAGGTCAAGTTATTCCTATTCTCCATAAAGGTTTAGAAACTCACCCATCTTCATTCCCAATGGCCAGTATTTTGCCATCAGGTTTCCAGCTGAGATCAGTGTGTGGTGACAATTTGTGCTGAAAAAAATCACAGCAATTCCACTTGAAGAAACATGAGCACAAATACTTGTTTTCTGCCTTTATAGCAAATGTTCTAGATTTCAGACATTGGAGTCAATCTTACACGTACGTTTAGCATGAAAACATTAACCAGTGTTAATCTGGATATAACTGGAATAAAATCTATTAATGTTGACATTCTAACAGTTTTTACAGACCTTTACACATCGTTTAAAAATCACTATTTGGTGACAAGCCCCTTTACGGGGGTAAAATGCCCCCCCATTTGAACGGTCATGTTTAAGGGAGGAATTGATTCTTTCAGAAGAAGGTACAGTTACTCCCTAAGACCACGCCCTCGCTGCCCACCACTACAAGAATACAGTCTCCTCTGAAAACAAAGCCCCTCGTTCGCACCTTAATGCTGTTCGTGTCCCGAATCACTTTATCAACATCAGTGGCTTCCTCTGCCAGCTTCCAGGGGTTGTGCTGGAAGATTACCCCTTCCCCAGCACAGCTGTACAGAGCCACTGGAGGCCTGTCGTCTCCTAGCGATTGGGGCAGAGAGACGGCCCATTACACCAGCACTCAAAATGAACAAGAGCCTCCTTCTTCCGAAGCGCCAAAGGCCTGTCTCCAGTTAGAGCACACAATATGACATCTTTACTGTGTACATTATCCTGGAAAATTGATTTTACCGAAAGGAAACTGTGCGGGGAAAAAAAACAAAGCCAAGAGCTTCGGCAGCCACATAAAACAGAATCTTTTTTCCGAAGAGGAAACACAATAGCGCGTGAAAACACCCAAAGGGCACATCTGTCTGTGGAGAGAGTAAGACAGATGCAGCAGAATAAGCAGAAATCAAATCTTTCATGTGAGTGGGTTTTCCAATCATCAGCAACTATGTGAACGAAGGCAATTATCTTTACAGCTCTGGAGATGTGTGACAAAGCAATAAAAATGCCACTTGCAGCAGCCAGTTAAATCAGCTCCTGTTTTCTTGAATTCCCTGTAAAGACATCTGAAGGAAATTAAATGTTTTTTTTTTTTTTAAACACTCCCTGGTTAATGCTCTCTTATTACAACAGAGGCAAGCTGCTGTCTTCTTCGTTTTAATTTAATACTTCCGGTTTATTTATCTTTTCCACTTTGCCGAGCTGGTGAAGACATAGAAGCAGGGGATGCTGACTGATACAAAATCGTCCGATTTGTTTATCCGTGTATCCCACAGATGCTCAATGATAAAACAAAACAGCTCCTGTAGCTATCCAACCCCTGCCTAACTCTACCTTTCAGCAACAAAGTGGACTTACCAAATGACAGAGGCGGTATCGGGGGTCCCCAGGCTACAGTATACACCGTCTTTCGGTGATATGTGCTGGATATTTGAGGGGGCCTGGCAAATACAAATATGGCAAAACGTTACAGAAGGGCTTGCAAACAACACTACTGAGCTCTGTATAATTGGGGATATAAAACGGAGTATTAACAGGGCTGCAGTAGCCTGCTGGGAACATTCCTCTGTTCATGGCTACCTTCATGTTGTGAATAAGATGGACACCTTATTGTGACCAGTAAAGTGCAACCGTTTACCAACCAACTTTCCTAAACAAGTAAAGTTTGCAGCCTCGTTCGCTGACCATCCGTTCAAAAATGATAGCAACTTGTAGTTAACGAAGTTAACAAATGTGCAAAATCACTGACAAAAGCTTATCGCGTGCTCCTCTTTGTGAACCCTCTGATGAATGGGATGGTTAGTTGGAGATGCTGTGCGGCTGGATATTTCCCAGCATTCCAAACAAAGGCCAATTCGATTAAGGCTGTAAGAAGAAAGCTTCGTAACCTTTCTGTCCATCTTGCTCATTAATCTGTTCAAAGACCGCTGAAGAAAGAATCTCCTGTGTCTTGAAGGACCCCGGGAAGTCAGTGTCTCCAGCGTGGCTGGACAGCTTTTTCCAGGCCTTGACACAAACTCTCTTAATAAACACACCTCCTAAAGAACAATAATTACTGCAGCGCAAATTCTGCATGCCAATAGTAATGGATTCTTTTAGTACGAGACAAACTTCTGGAGGGCCTGTTAAGAAGGGAACCCCCCACTTGCGAGGGTATTCTTTGGACTGACAATGACGGGCTGACAATTCCCTCGCACCTCACGGACCTAGAGATGGCCTAAATGTGGACAGCGATGGTCACCACCGAGACAACCTCAACGCAGACAGGCCTGGTTGCCTCGGAGACAGTCTATATGTGGACAGGCGTGGTCACCATGGGGACGGCCTAAACCGTGAATCTGTTAGGGCTCCATCAATAATGGTGCGGCCAGTTTTGTATAATTGTGTGCGCTCAGAGCATGCTCTGCCTTCTCCCACTTACTTGCTAGAATAGGCCTCATAAATGCCAATCTTGCCATCATCGGTTCCAAATGCCAGGCAGCCCTCCTTCAGTGGATGCCAGGACAGCTGAAATGAACACAGCTAAGCTATAAATCTGAAGCTGCTATTGACAGAAAGAGCCTCAGGCTAAACAAACAGGTATTAAGATGTTAAGATAATCAAGAGGCAAGACCGTCGACTTCAACAGGCTGTGAAATGTCAAATCAATTAGATTGCTGTGCACTGGGGGGTCCGTTTCGTCTCTCTCGCATGGCAATGTTTCTGGCTGGAGAAACAAGGGCTTGAATTACTGTATCTCAAATTGTTTTTTAACCTGGTCTGCCGGCCGCCAGGTCCAAAAGACAAAAGCAACATGAATTAAGCTTTACAGTGTGACGGAGAAATATTGAAAGAAAGCTGACATTATCACCTGCATTTTCAAGATGTTATGTGTTGGCTACATCACACATGAATACCTACAGTGTCCTGCTTCCTCCTGTTCTATGAATGGTGTCTACAGATACTGCCAGGATGTTTACAGGCTGTAAACCACGCCCTTTCGCCGAAGGGGAAAACACTGAGGAGTAACACTAATAGCCCTCCCTGTGATATTTTGGTGGAATAGGTAGTATGCCTGAGAGATTAAAAAAAACCTCTAAAGACAGAACAAGTACAACAAATTCAAGTCCTAGCAAAGAAGAATGTATTTTCTTCCTTACATCTCTGTACCTCCGATACAATGAAATGATCTCCCTCCTTGTGTAGCCCCCTACACAAGGATAATTGCAACACTGAGGCTTCATACTCGAAACTGCATGTTGTTTTAAGTCTAGTACGCCAACTGCAGCAGAACAATATCCAGTTTCACATTTTTGTGTGGGAGATCTCAGAAATGTTACAATTTTAATGGCTTTTAAAGACACAACAATATTTCGATACCCTACTTAAAGAAACGGACCCCTCATGACCTACCGCTGTAACCTTGGACTTGACTCCCTGCCAGAACGCCTTGGTGTCGTACTTGTTCTTCAGGGACAGGGTGCTCCAGACTCGGATCATGTTGTCTCCGACGCCCAGGGCGAGGGAGCCGGTATCCACGGGAGAGAAGGTCAGCGCGTACACAAAGCCGCCGAGAGACGGCAGCGTCCAACAGCACTCCAGGGTAGACAAGTCCCAGCATTTTATCTGCAACCCAGGAAGAACGGAGCCCTTTACAGCTTACCAAGGCGATGACAACATCACCCCAGCGGAGTGGTGAAACACCACCCAGAGGACACACGAGGACACCATGTGGACGAGCAATGGAACCCGGAGCACAGGAGGTGTGCCCAGTTTACCCCAGGCATGGTGCGAGTTTTTTCTCTCTTCTCTTTTCAGCATGGAATAAACCTATTACTAGTTGCTTTGCAGCCTACGCATGCTGACGCAGCTCCCCACCTGAACTATGGTGCGAGTATGGTACAAACTGACAACATATCTTTCAAGAAACAGCTGGATTAGATCCTTTCATCAACTAGATACTATCACATGAGCAAGAAGGACGGAATGACCTCACGTTCCTTTCACGTAACCTTTCTCACGTTCTTAAATGAAAGATGAGTGCTGCTTGAAGGGTTCACTATCACTGTCACATCCTGGAAAAAGCTGCCCGTTCTCTTCTGTTGATGGCTCAGACCATGAGAGGTTTGTTGATGAAGTCCTGGGCTTCATTAACAAACCCTCTCTGCTTCTGGATTAGCACAGCCTTCTGCAGCCTCAAGGAAAAAATGCAAGCCGACGTCTGAGAAACCCGAGTGCCGTGAGAAAGACCCGAGAACAGCCCAGCTTGTAAGCAATAAACAGCAATCTTGGGCATGATATCAAACAAGTGTGGCAAACTGATGATGCAGGACACCTTGTTTTTCACAACCACACTATCTGCACCTCAAGGAGCAAAAAAGTCTCCTAGAGAACATTGTTCTGTCTGGCTTTATTTCAGCTTCCTGCCTATCTTATCTGCTAATGCAACACAGTTCCCTCCGTGTGCTGCTGCTGCTGCTGCATCTGAGAAAATGAAAAGTCTTACATCTCTGTCCATAGAGATGCTGATCAGAAGTTCTCTGTTCTCCTCAGCGCTCGTGGAGCTCATGTTAAAGACAATCCGCGAGTGGTTCTGTCCCTCAGACGAAGGGCCCAGCACAGCCCACTTCTGTTTACCAGACTTCACCAGGTCCCACAACAGCAGCTCACCCCTGCAGCAAGTGACAAGATCGGGAGGGAAACAGAAACGCAAGTCATTCATTTCTTGCTCATTTGTAAAGGATATTCCAAGATAAATACCGTTAGGAGTGAATGCCGGCTGCCGCAGCCACAATCCTGATCGTTTATCCCGATCCTTAAAGATTCTTTTGGACAATCCAGCACAACAGCTGGGTTGACAAATCTATTAAGGTTAAAACAAAAGGTTAAAGCAGCCTCAGGCCAGGTGGTAGCCCGCCCCGCCCCAAGCTATCCAACAGCTGGAGTACTGCACGAGCTTGCAAACTAACTAGCTATCCTACTATTGTATCCAAACAATATCAGTCCAACAAGACGTCTTTGACCACAACAAAGATGCGGATTGATTACAGAGGATTCATCAGGGGCACAGGCTGCCCATGATGCCAGCCGAGGAAGAGCAGGAAGAGACGTTCGCAGCCGAGTGCGAGGCAGTCAGGATGAGGGTCTGCACCTCCAAATCTGAGGCCAAGGTTCTGTCCCAGGAAAGAGTGGCTGGCTCCCTGCAGGTGAGGCGGAGGACTCGAAGCACCTCGGGGGCTCGTTCCTCTACCGGTGAGGGGGGAGGAAGCCGGTGAAGACATGCAGTGCAGCTGCTGTACTGAACCGCGGTGGTGGAGCAGAAGCTGAGCCTTCAGATGAAGCTCATGAGTTCCTGTCCTCACCTGTGGTCGCGAGCTTCGAGTAGTGACCGAAAAAATGAGATCGCTGGTACATGCCTGCACACAACCAAGGGCAGCCCTGGGCCCTTTTGATTTAAGACTTTTCCGAGGGGTTTCATACCCAAAACAGCTGGACACTATGTGTGTCGGTTGCCCCTGAGGCCAGTGCACTGTGAGCCACAGCCTCTCCTTCACAGCGGGATCCACCCCAACTCCCCTCCTCTTGAGGAACGGAAGCTTTAGCGTCATCACCCCTGAAACACACAGAAGACACCGTGAGCTCCTGCTCTGTAGGGTGTATGTTACCGCATCCCAAGTCTGAATTCTCTAAAGGTCTTGTTCACAGGTAACCCTTCCCAGCCCTTATCTGCTAGTGTCCTATAGCCACAGAGATAAACAAAGTCCTCAAGGGTCAATAAACCAGTGAAGCTCAGTTCAAGACTTAAACAACCACAGTTTGAGAGAGTTCAGTACACTTAAAAAAAGCAAACCTTTTCCCTTCCTGGTGCTCCAAAGGCGGATTGTCT